CTCACTTGCGATAAAGAGTGTAAAATATTTTTTCTTGCTTAAAATTACCATAAAAGGAAAATTTTTAACAAAATGGACATGATCAGAAGAAAGTTTTTTTAAAAATTTTTAATAGTTTTCTTAATTTGCATTTATTATTTTTATTATATAATAAGTATGCAAGAATGTATAAAAGAAAGAAGAAATTGAATAAATGAAATTCAGTTAATAAAGTTTTTCAGCCAATATCAATTCCATCTCATCCTAAATAAAACATCAACCATCATTACGTGAATCTGAACTTTCTTTAGTGACAAATTCACTGATCACTGTTATAATATATATGCTAATATTATAATAAAATTATAACAACATAACAACTATTCTAACTATTCTAACTATTTATATTATAATTACTATAACTGCTATAATTATTATAATCAAGAAAAGACATAAGAAATAAATCAATTATAACAAAAATATCTTAGATTTTAGAGATTTCGGATCGTCATGACATCAGTCCATGTAACAATGCAAATCTCCTCTTACACTAATTACAAATAACTCTAAGTAGATATTTATAGCTGCTTAGTACTATTTATAATATGTAGAGGTTTTAATATATTTTTTTTTATAGATTAATTAATTATTGTAAATAAGCTAACATTAAACATATTAACTTAATATGTTATACAAAAGATGTTATTAATTTCTTCATATACAAAATTTTATATTTTTTATAATTAATAAAATCAAAATATTTACTTACAAAAAAAAAGTAATAAATAAATAATAAAAAGTTATAAAAACAATATATTAAATATTTTGACTTTAATAGTATTGTACATTATTTTATTTTAAAAAAATATAAACAAAAACTAGTATAAGATCAAGTAAGCCTAGTGAAGTCTTCAAGATTAGATTGAAATCCAAGCAAGGACACCAGTTCCACAGGTGGTGAAAATGATAGTGTAACATTATGCCAGTGGCAATATCAACAATAGATTTATACAAAACAGCAAATTAACAAATTGCATGATTTAAATATTCAGTTTATTTATGATATTATATAAAAAATTGAAAAGGTGAAGAGTAGACAATGAAAATAAAATTTAGTTTTAGATATTATCAGAAAAGTCAAATTATCACAAAATTTAAAATAACGAAATTAAAGTTAAAGTGCAATAAATAAACAAAAATAAATTTGGCATGTTTGTTTGTTCAACTGTTTATTAAAGAAATTATCCAAATGTCAAAATTGTAATTGTGAAAATATGATCCGTATGATCTTTTGTATATTAGTGATAAAAAATTATGATGATCCAATAATAAATTAGTGCAGTAGATTGTTTAATAGAAATAAGATAACGAATTGTTGTTTATTTATTTTAATACTATTTATTATCCATTCTAAAACACGTACGCATGTTTTTTCAAATAAATTTAAATTATTTGGATTTTTTTAAATTACCCTTAAGATACAACACAAAGAAATTTAGTTATAAAAATGGTAATTAAATTTTCGGTGGAATGATTTGTTACGTGAAACCGATGCGCACATGCATGAAAAAAGGAAATAAAATTTTAAACAATAAATTCGTATCACAATTATGAACATAAGGTTTAAGTGCAGGTGTTATTCTGTCGGACTCAGACTATTGACACGAAGTATCAATGGTTACATACCATCTTACTTATACTTCGCGAAGGAGATTGTTTCTGTATTAACACCGGAGATCAAAAAAGAAGAGAAGAATACGCTATCCCAAAACAAAACAATCCATTGTCATTTTGGATGGGACAAATTAAAATTTACGAATTTTTTTCTTCCCTTTATACACGTACAGTAAATCAATAAACAGGAAAGAGGCTATGGTATGTACGGTTGAGCACCAATGAAAAAAGTTTTTCTTTAAAACCATATATGATATTGCTCATACACGCAACGACTTTGAAGAGCAGCTATTGCTGTTTCATTGCAACAAATGATTATTTAAAATAGTATGGCCCTAGCGATGTGCAGACCATGTGAGAAAATATCGCCATATATGTTTTAATACTAAATCCATACATAGAATTATTTTTATTCAAGCTCCGTTTGCAAAGTGACTTTATTTGGTTCCTAGAAGAGATAACGTGTTACACTTTGTGTTTCTTTAATTTAAAGCGATAATCAAAATTGGATGCCCAAATGTTCACATTGTTACATTTAGAACATTCCCAGAGAAAAAAAATAAAGAAAAACATCTAAGTCTAGAAACGATAAACGTAAATTGTACTCCCAAGGAGCTTAACGAAAAAAAAAAATAAACTATTTAAGAGACCTCGTAGTGCGTGTTTTTCCGGAGAATCTTTTGCATCTTGAATAATTGCTGAGTATACCATATAATTTTAATGATTTTTTTTAACATGAAGAGATAAAGTAAAAAAAATTTTTTTATTAAAATTTACAAAAACATCAAATTTTGAGATCGTTATCATAAAATTTGAGATTATTATTATTATTATTATTATTATTTTGAATTTTGTTTTTGGCAAGGAATTCTAAACGCTCATTGGCGACAAGTTCTTACGTGACGATATCTATTGCTAGATGTTCGAAAATATCGATTACACCCTGGCAATGGACACCCATATGCTAAAAAAAAAAAAAAATAAAAAATAAGTAAATACAAAAGCAAATTATTCATTTGACCTTTGAAGTCTTTCAACGGTGAATTAAAAATAGTCATAAGTTGTTTAGCGAAACTACATACGCCTATCTCCAGTATGAACGTTTAGATGATCGTTCAAAATGCTTGGGTAACGGAATAATCGTTCACACTCAGGACATCTGTGTCTATATAGCGATCGCAAGTTTTCGTGACTGATATAGCCAACGAGAATAAGTTCATTATTATCATCAACGCGGTATATTCCACTGGTGTATGGGTAAACAAATTGTAAAGCCGAGCTTTCAACGAAACCGGATGAATTTAAACTTCTTCCAGAGGCATAGCCTACAAAGGTACCAAAGAACAACCCACTTTCATCTTGACAATTCAAACGGACGATCATGTATTGGAGGGTCGCTGTGATTATATCATGTCTTCTCGTGAAGTACACACTAGTTTCGTTCCTGTTCTCGTAATGGACCAAAATGAAATCCATGGTGAAGGCTACTATGAGATTCTTGATTTGTGTTGTGAAGAGTAAGATCGAAAGAGTTCTTTGGGTAGTTATTAAGAGGTACGATTGTTTAAATATTAAAAAGATGAAAAAATTTTTTTATATATAATGCCCGAGAAAACAAATAGATCTTTACCATAATGGAAGGGCCGGCATGCGTGTGACTAAAATCATCAGGAACCAATTCTTATACTCGACAACTTCAATCAGCTGATATCAAACAAATTATACTTTGATTGTATTAAAAAAAATTGCAACCCGGGTGGGTTTTAGAGAATTGAGCTGCACTCACTCCAATAACATTGGTTTATATTTAGATTTGAAAATTTCAAGGGTAATCAATATCTTGTATATGTGCATTCTCGCAAAAGTTTGATCTTAGGAATTAAATTGACTTTCCAAATCAAATAGGACAATAATGAAAAAGGTACTTCTTTTTAGAGAAAATAGCGTATATATGTATTTTATAATTGATCTTGGTTTAGGGTCTATCATTAATACAATGACCAATGAGTTCTTTTACCGGACCTGTCAATTATGAAACCTTTAAGGTGCTGTTATTAAAAAGGAAATATCTACAAAATGATTGCGTACTTATTCAAATTAGGTTAACAGAAAAGATATGATTTGGATTTTTTTTTTGTTTTTGTTAATGATGATTATTTTTCAGTCTTGGAACCACCGTTTAGAGAATGGATCGTGTTCGCAATAAGCGAATGAACCTCCGGAAAGTATATAAAAAATAAAATTGACTTAGATTGATAGGGCGAAAGTTTAACGATTGACAAAAAATCTGACAAAGAAAATTTCAGAAGTTATCCTCATTCCTTTTTTAACGCTATTTTACAGAGTATTTAGAAAACATAATTTAGCTCATTATTATTATTGTATCCGTGCAAATAAATATAATAAAATTTGATCGTCAATTATACATTAATTCTAAAACGACTTTGGAAAGCATAGTGCTAGCTTTTTTTGTGAATGGATTGATACTCGCAAAACAAAGAAGTTAAGGATACACAAGGGTCTGAGATTTGCTAGAAAAGTAAATTAATTCTCATAATCAATTTTTAATCAGTAATTACTTATCAACATCACATATGTCATTGTGCAGCAAATAATACATGCATTATCATTTGAATGACCCCTCGATTATTTTTTGCTTATATAAAATAAACCAGTTATTGAAGTATAAATTATTGGTTCCGAACCTTTAACTCGATGATCTCCAAGATTCACACCAATGTTTTAAAAACATTTGGATTGTTCCTAAATAAATATACTTCACCGAATCGTTCCGTGATTGTCGCGGCGTCGCAAATAAATTACGTAATTGATATGACTACGTAAATAGGTTCGTAACTAACGGTCTTTAAATATCCTGCTCAGGTTTGAAATTACAATGACCTCTGATCATAAACTAATAAAGGATGCTTGCCTATCACAAAACAATGAGAATTGATTGGCTGTGGTATACGTGATATTTAAATTTGTATTGTTATATTATGAACTGGTTAGATCGATATTTTAGGTCGCTCCAAGTTTCACCAAGTTAGACTAGTTCCAACTGAGCTACTAAATTGCCACATGTTATTTATTTATGGTCGCCATAATAAAATCCCCACAATCATGCGATAACGAATTGCTGCGTAATCGCAGCGATAAAATCTCAGCGAGATCATCGCGATCATGCTACGGTTGATCATGATTTAACAAGGCGAGGTCACGTTACCGCGACAGCCATGTGACCACATAGTGGTGACGTTGCTCGAATCCGAGAATACAGTATTTCTATAACGTACATGTGCTGTATAACAATGGATATATGCATTATAGTGAATCGGTCTATTCTTGCGATCAATTTCGTGTAGCGCTAAGGTGAGCTGGCTGAGGCGTGCAATTTTTTCTTGCGGTGACTTCTTGGGTAGTTCGTTCTTTAAGCCAAGAAGTACTCAAGATAGATTTATCAATCCAAAGTTGCCTTATTTGACTATCGTAAACCTAAATTAATACCTTTTTTTCCTATTAATTCAACGAACACCTTGACCTTCATTTGTTGCATCGATAAAGCGTAATAACCGATTCTTTTCTCCTACTTAGTCTGGTTATTGCACATAAAGAACTGGATTACATTACGAGAAATCATTATGCGCAGTGTAAATTCTATTAACATGGACAAGGAACATTTGTATAGGGTTCTCGCAGGATTTCACTGGTTTTATAACGATGGAAACCGTAGCACAAATTCTGATAACAAAGTGAATATAGTGAATTAATATATGGTTCGGTCAAGTTCGATGTTGTCTATTAAGACGTGTAAGAGATGATAATACAGTGTGAGTCAAAATTATTGGAAAATCACTGCGGCGAGATCTATATAAATTAAACTAACCAAACTCAGACAGGAACGTGACACCAAAATGTAAAGTTAAGTAGAATCGAACTTTAACTAA